TTTGAGGGGCAGGTGGAGGACACTTTCAAACTGTAAAAACGTGAAGTCTGCAGGACCAAGGATTAAACTGTTTGTCACAAAGAGCATTATGACGCACTGCAGACCATAAAGTCATGAAGTCATTGTGATGAAATCCTCATGTTTGTTTGTGTCACCACCACCTGATGTGTAAATAAACATACTGTTAAATCCTGTTGATCAAGATCTTCATTCTCTTAAATTAAAGTGGCTAAATTTATCAGATTATTTTTATGTTTTAACTGTCATTTTGTGATTGCTGTTTAAAGTGATCTCATCAGACGTAAGAAGTTGAATGCCAGAGTGTATTTAAGATCGATTACATTGAACTGAGTTATACAGTCCCGCCATAGAACGATCTTCCCTTGAATGTGGGTTTACTTACAGCAGCCTTCCAGTTTATTATTGGTCTGTGAAATCTCACATATCTCTGAAGTGTGTACATTAGTGAGATGTCTGTGAAAACCACCCGCAGCTGTGTGAATAAATATTTCATCCCTGATGATCTACTGTGACCTGCAGGAACCCCAGAGGAAGAGGAAGAGGAAGAAGAGCAAGAGTTTGGGTTTGAAAACACCAGGGGGCACAATTAAATTTGCATGAAAATGACTGTCCTGGTTCATTCAACGTCAGCGTCTAATAACCAAGACACTAAGTCTGGGTCTGAACTCAGTTTGTCACGTGTTAAGATTTAAGTCTGTCTCTCTGTATGTATGAAAACAGTGCCATCTACTGTTGGTAATCAATTAAACTACAGTAGAAGAGTTACCACTAGCAGCTGAAGACAGTTCATTTATCAGTATATGGTTATGAAAAGGAAGGTCCTTACTCGCAGAACTACCCATTACAGTTAAAAAAATAATGATCTAGGTTACTGGTTATGTTTTATAGATCAGTGATCTCATTGTCTTCAATATACTGATAAAAAATGCATGAAAATAATCAATCTTTCTGTATCCTTTACTATTACACACACAGACTGGTTTGCACCACTGTTTCCCAAACGAACTACTTCATGTACTGTAGGGGGACCTCGAGGACCACACATTCTCTCAGTAACACTTTGATCACACACCACACAATATATACTGTATCTGACACTCCCACCTGCAACTCTTTATCTCTGTCACTGTTAATACTGACAGCTGTGCGTTTGACTCAGACTTTCTGAACATGGACATCATCAAACACGGTCTCCTCAGCTGGTTGATATTTCTTCTCTGGATAAAAGGTAAAATACAAAAATATCAAAACACTGCATTTAGAGGGATAACAAGCAAGAAGTTCAAAATCACTGTAAAGCTTCTGCTGTATGCACGTTAACATGTTCGCTTCTGGCAACGTTCACTGTTGTTTCACTCAGGTCTTACTGATGGGAGTGATGTCACCCAGCCTGACATACTGTGGAAAGTCCAGGGTGACAACGCAACAATGAGCTGCAGCCACACCAAGGGTAGCAGCTACTACCAGATGTACTGGTACAGACAGCTGCCAGGAGACACCATGAAACTAGCAGTCTTCACTTCGGCAAACACTGAACATACGTTTGAACCAGACTTCAGTGGGGACAAATTTTCAGCCACCAAGCCTGACGCTCACAGAGGGACGTTCACAGTGAAGAACCTGCAGCCAGGAGATAAAGGCTTGTACTTCTGTGCTGTGAGTCAGCCCCACAGTGGCACAGTTAACTAGCAAGGCTGAGCAAAAACCTCTGTGCTGCTCTTTCTCCGAAATGTTGTGTAATTACCCATTATCACTGAAACTGTATTCTAACACATACGAGATTAGATTGTTTAACATTGTAAAAACTCAGTTGTTGAGATATTTTCAAGCTCCATAAAGAGTTTCTGTTTACAAAATGTGGGTAGTTTGGTTTGTGGGCTATGGTTTTGAAGCCTTGAGTTTGTCATTTTGGCTATCGTTTTTTTTTTGGTCGTCGCCATCTTGTTTTTTTGCAACCAGTGAACGGAAGTGACTATATTTGGACAGCGGTGGAGTGACGTTGTGATAGAGAAGCTGTATACGGCTCTGGTATCCACGCACTACAGTATACTCCGCTTTATTGTCTATTCTACTCTAAAATGGATCATAATTTACTAAATGAGCATCATGCTGTATTGAAAAAGACTTGAAACTAGAGACTGAGACCATAACCTCATGTTTACAAAGTTTACTGGATCAAGTGAGAAGTAGAGTCATTTTCTCATAGACTTCTATACAATCAGACTTCTTTTTGCAAACAGAGGAGTCGCCCCCTGATGTCCAACAGAAAGAATGCAAGTGTAAGGCACTTCCAAATTGGAAATGAGCTGATAAACATATTAACTCATTTAATCACAATTACCTAAAAGCCTCTAATATGTGCCTCAATGGGTCTAAATCAGAGGTGTCAAAAATACGGCCAGAGGGCCAGAACCGGTCTGCTAAAGATTCCAATCCAGCCCACTGGATGACTAAAAGTCTGAAAATAGCAAAGAAGTCGTAAATTAAAATGTTTCATTAAAATACAGTGCTATTTTTATTTGTCCACTGGGGGTCACGCGGTCCTAATAAGAGTAGCAGGGCCTATGCTGTAACACAAGCTACTGTTCATTTTGGCAGTACGACACTTAAGGCCATCTGATAGTATGTGTAATATTTATTTCACTAACAAAAGATATCTGTATGCGTGCTGTAGGTATGATGTAAGGAGACCAAAATATAGAATCATGTGACACAATCTGCAGCACTGTTCTGAAATAACTATCAGCCGTAATATTTGTAAATATCTGCAAAATGGAAGAAGAACACCACAAAGCCATCACTGAGGCAGCTTACCTTACTTTTGACACCAGCAGGGGGAAACAAACCTCAACAAGTGAAATGAGGATATCTACCACCTCCATTGATACGCAAGATAACGCTACTCCCTCCCTGCTGAGTGCTGTGATGTCGACGTCTTTCTGACACCAGCAGTGTTCATTAAACTGTAACAGTGATGCATTCTCGTCCACAGCTGCCGAGCTTTCGGGTCAGGGAAGAAAAGCCGATCGTAGAGTTTCAGATCTAAAGTTCTTTACCATGATATTTACCGTCTTTATATTTTGTTTTCTTCATCTGCCGGGAAATAATGGTGAGAAGCGCAAGAATATTCCAGAAAGAGTAAGACGCTGCACAGCTACTCATTTCAGTATTTCAAATCTTGACTGCTATTTTCTTTTCACAGGTAACCCTCTCACCAAAATGGTCTTCCAAACTCCTCCTTTCATCATTAAGAGAACTGGTGAATCTGTTGCCAGTGAGATCAGCTGTTCACACAATGTACCATTTTATGATATTGTTCTCTGGTACAAAAGAGAAGAAGAGCACAAAGCTCTGAAGCTCCTGGGATATATGAATAACATCTTCCCGTACCCAGAGGACGACGTGAAAGAAAAGATCAGCCTCGATGGAGATGCCCGTAAACATGCACGCCTCAGCATTTCTGATCTTTTATTAAACGACAGTGGAGTGTATTTCTGTGCTGCCAGTACGCACAGTGCTGCAGATTCCCCTCAAGTCAACACAAAAACTCTCCTTTATCTGTCTGACAGACAAACATGTTGAGTCTCTTGAACACCTGCAGACAGCCGACATCTAAGCCAAGCCTTTGATGATTTTATCAACTGTTTTGACACAATGTTGGCCTCTTGCTCTGACACTCTTTGTGACGTTCTGTATGAAATAAAGATTGTTTTAGCAACTAATATGGTTGTGAATTTTTCTCATTAACTACATGAATAATGATTACGTAATAATGAAGAAACATACCTGTAACTTCAAAGTCTGACTTGGTCACGTTATAATTTTCCCTCACTGTTTATGAAGGAAATACAGGATGATCGTCCATCTTCCGTTTTAAAAATGTCTTTAAATGTGTATATCACAAATAGATCACATCATCAAATCTTTGGTTAGTCAGTGTTACTGATCTAAATACAGGTAATCTACGGCTGAGTGATGTACTATAGGGGGACCTCCAGTACTTCTTATACTACACCTTGAGTGTAGATTTGTACAGTGACCCGCCCACCTGCAGCTCTTCATGCCTCTGTAACTACACGAGACTCTGACTGTTTGCATCTAACAACATGGAGATCATCATCAGACAACACCTCCTCAGAATATCAGTCTTCTTGCTGTGGACTACAGGTACTTTACAAAAAAAGCAACTGTGAGCCCTAATATTCTTCGGTTTCTTTTTTAAAACAAATTCACATTTCAAGTTTGTCTCATTGGAATAGCTGATCATTTTGGAAGTGATGTCAAAGAATATCACAGGAATCCAAAAGATAAGCCGTGATCCCCCGTGAGACATATATTCTATTTTAAAGATCATCACAAAATATACGACATCAT